GATATTTCGGGTATCCTGTTTAATAAGTCTGAGCCAAATGTTGCCGCCGCTCCTTTGAGGGCACCTTGTAACATCATAACCCGCGCAAACATCTTGTCTGTGGCTGTGGTGTCTGGTCCCCATCGTTTGCCAAGGCTTTCTGCTGCAATTCGCGCAGCCATAATTGAGACTTCGATGTTCTCCGTTGGCTCTCCTGAGAACGCCGGGACTTTCATTGCGTTTGCCATGTTTGATTCCTCGTCACTATCGTCGTCCGATTCTTCAGAGAGGGATTCGTACGGTGGCTCTAGTTGCTCTTCTGATGAGTGTACTGAGTCGAGTCCTCCTCCAACGTGGGAAAGATCTTCTGGCCTTGCGATTTCGATTTCTTCCGGTGATAAAGGGCTTTGCTGTGATGTTTGATCTTGCGAGGGGAATCTATGTGGTGGCGGGGTGTGTAGCGGTTCGTCAACAATGTCCTCTTCACGTGGTGCTGGTCCTGCCTCAGAGTCTGCTCCTGTCTCTTGGGGCGTGGACTGCGCGTCCTTCTGTTCTTCTGGAGAAGACACTTTGGGTGGTTGGCGGTTGACACCGTCTTATCCTTCTGTTTTGGATAGCGGAAAGTGATGACGTAGTTGAGTGGTGGGGATCGACTGTTCCTTCCCGTTTGGTTTCAGCAATAGGGCGCTCCTTCTGCCTTCTGGGTTGGGGTCGCGGCCTCCAACTTGCAGTTGCTGTCCAGTGCGTTGTCTCTTCGTGCCTTCCTCTGCCCCTTGTTTACTCCGACTGGGAGTCTTGGGCCAAGGTCGTCAAGTTCGGATTGACTGATAGGTTTTCGACTTCGATGTCAGCCGGTGGCTCTTCTCTCCTCGTGAGAGTATAATGTAATCTCTTCTCTTGCTTCTGCAAGACACAGCGCTCCTGACCTTCGGAGGTCCTTCGTCTGTTGCTCTCGAGGCTGACGGTGCTTGATCTTCCGGAGATCTCTGGTGTAACGATGTTCACGGGGTCGTTCAGAAGCCGTTATGGTAAGAATAGTTGCTCTTAGTAAAAGGTTGGATTCATCCCGGATTAGGCCCCCAAGTGTAGCCTACGGAGCAACATGGAATAATGTGTAACGGTGATAACGATGACGATCGTATTACTATTCTTGATGATGCTCTGAAGAAGAGACAATCGGCTATCCGATGTTCCATCTATACTACGCTATGTCACGTGTTGGTTCACATCTCCCTCATGGAGCTGATCACCATCTGTTATCTTATCTAATCTAATCTAATCTTATCGCACCGATTAGATTTTTCGATCTTGGCATTTTCGATAGAACCGGCAACGTCATCCTCCAACGCCGCACAAAACTGGTCTTCCCCATCCAACTTCAGCATTCTATACCTTCTTATTTGGTGATCTAGAGTTCCCATGACTCCGCGACTATATAACTCAGCAACTTTGCCACTGATCGTGCGGATTGGCTTCGGCCGCGCCGTGCCTGTGTAACCTCGAGGCTACACTCCCAGGTCCCGAAAGAGGTGACTGGGGCGGATTTGGCAGGGCCCTGAAGCATCATAACGCGTACAGATCGTGTCACCGCACCCAGAACTTCGTGTCATATAAACACACAAACTCACAAATTTCCCGCTCTCACTCGGCGATGAGTCGCAAACCCATCGTGGCGGGCCTCAATCGTCGCCAGTCCTCGACCCCACACTACCAGACTTTCCCCACAGCCCCTCCACGAACTCGCGGGAATGCGCTCTCGTCTCCCTTCGACTCCTCCCATGACCAAGATAGAGTATCCAATGCCGACGACGACCAGCATAACAACCACAATCATGAGTCGCCGCTTCCGCGCCGCCAGCTCGCCGTTCTCGCTATCATCGCCCTGGCCGAGCAAACTGCGCTGAACTCCATCTCCCCCTACCTCCCACAGATGGTGGCCTCTTTCCCCTCAACAGACACATCACGAATCGGTCTATATGTCGGCGCAATCGCCTCGTCGTTTGCTGCCGCGCAACTCCTCACGAATTACTTCTGGGGCTCACTCTCCGACCGCATCGGGCGCAAACCAGTTATCCTCCTCGGTGCCATCCTCACGGCTGCGGCATTCGTAGGGTTCGGGTTCTGCACAAAGCTATGGCATGCGATCCTTGTGCAAGCTATAATGGGAATTGTAAACGGGAATCAGGGACTCATCAGTACGTGTCTGGGCGAGATCACGGACCGCTCAAATCAAGGCCGCGCTTTCGTCTGGCTGCCCGTCATCTACGGTGTAGGCGCCATCTCAGGGCCGGCACTAGGCGGATTGTTAGTGCAAGGAGAGTCCAGTGCGAAGAAACCATCCTACCCGTTCTTACTCCCGAATCTGGTTGCGGCTGTCATACTGGTGGTGGAATTTACAGTTACCCTGATATTCCTCGAAGAGAGCCTCGAGGAGGCCAAAGACCTCCCACCGCTACAAGACAGAGTCAGAGCCTTCTTCTCATGGATGTGGCAGTTCGCCTCCGGTGCCATCCGCCCAACCTACACCCGACGCGGTCCCCTCCACCACCACGGCCACCGCCGAGTCCACTCCCATAGCTCTACCATCTCGAGCACAAGCAGCACCTCCCCCTCCTCCTCCCTCCTCCATGACATCTTCGCTGGCCCATATACCTCCATCCCCATCAAAAGACCCCCTCAGCGGCACCACCCTCCTCCTCCTATCCACCTACTTCGTCTTCCAGCTCTCCAACGCATCCTTCAACGCCCTCTACCCCGTCTTCGCCTTCGCCGACCCCCCACTCGGCCGCAATATCCCCGCCCGAGATATTGGTTTCTCTCTCTCCGCCGCCGGTGTCGCTACAATTATGTTCCAGGTCCTCATCTTCGGCCGCCTACGCGACAAGATGGGGAACAAAGCGACATACCGCGCGGGCCTGGGCTTATTCGCCGTTGCCCTCCTCGCAACCCCGACCGTACCATTCGCAGACTCTAAGCCGCCATTCAAGTTCCTCACAGGACACATGTGGATGTGGGCACACCTCTCCCTCGTACTCCTCGCCAAGACAGTAGCATCCGTAGGCGGCCTCTCCAGCGCCCTCCTGCTCATCACCAATTCAGCCCCTGAACCAGAGTGTCTAGGCGCTCTGAACGGGTTGGCGCAAACGCTTAGCTCTGCGGGGCGGGGGGTAGGCCCCGTGATGGCAGGCGGATTATTCAGCGCTGCACCGAAGAATGGGAGGAGTGGTGGTTGGATCCCATTTGGGGTGTTTGGGGGTGTCGCGGTGCTAGGGTTCGTGGCAAGTTGGGGGATTCGGGGCGAGGAGTTGGAGGGAGAGGAGTGGGATGAGGGTGAACATGATGAGGAAGAGGTGTTATAGTGTGGTATATTGGACGATGGGTGCGGAGGTATTCGCGACGACGGACGTGCATGGATTCTGGGTGCAAGGCCATTGATTTTTGGCAACTTGGACACAGCCACAGCCACAGCCAGTCCGAGCGAAATGAACCGTTAATGGTGGACTACGAAAGTCATTCTATCCACCATACACCGACCTATCAGCAAATTAAACACCCCATTCCCCACAAAGCAGTGGCTGCAAGATTACCGCAACTATACCAGGTTCCTCGGTTGCTTCTTGAATGAGGCATAGATTAGTACCCTTTCACTGCGCAGTGCAGGGAGGCCGATTTGTCAGCCCAAGTCCAAGTGCAGAGCCGCCCTCCACGCAGGCAGCGACTTAAGGCAAGAGAAACTAGAACCATGGACGACGTCGCGTTCCATCTCACTGAGCTAAAAGTTTTAAGGACCAGAAATGTGAAGCTACTGCTGGGAGCAAAGAAAGCAAGTGGCTCAACCGTACATTGCTAAATTTTAGAGCGAATCAATTATGATATAAATATTCAGCTTAGCTTTGAGCAAGGGCGATGAGTATATTATTATGGGTATATAGCTTAGAATATGAAAAACATACATATATACCTCACGAAGGATTCGCTAGGAGGTGAACCCTTTGGCCATTGATAAAAAGGTAACTGCTAATAACATGCTTCTGCGTTGGCTCTCGGAACGCAAAGCCGATCAACAACCTCTCCTCGACCTTGTACGCGACCTTTCTTAAAGTGCACAAGTCCGACACGTACGAACACTTCCTCGGGTGCCCGTGTCGGAGCAGAATGGAGACATGGGAGCGGCACAGATAGATGGTTGAATTAATTCAAATGTTCTCCATTGAGACATCGATTAGCCATACATTTACTATAATTACACGTGTAGAGGGACGCCGCCACTCTATTTCTCCATCCTCTCTACTCCCTCTCCATCCTCTCCCTTCTCTCTGCCTCCTCCTCCTCCTCGGCCTCCACCTGAATGATAGCTGCAATAGCCGCTTCGTGTTGGCGGCGGCTAGCGATGCGCCCCTTTCTGCTCTGTATGAGCAGTCGTACAGTGGGGAGTGGACGGGCGAGGGCGCGAGCGCAAGGGCGAGACGACGCGGGGTTCAGGCGCAGGAGAGGCGACGCGGACTTGGTTATGGTTGGCAGACGAGACACTCCCCGTCTGGAGTCCTCGTTTTACTCCCCTCTGGAGTCCTCGTTTTACCCCCTTTTCCAAAACATCAACCATGGCACTTGCTGGAAACATTTGTGAAGGTGATCCAAGCGGTACTAACCCCGCATACACCCCCCTCACTGCTTCTGCTCATCCTGACTTACACCTGTCTCACTCTCGCGGCACCTAGCGTCATGCTAAACAACTTTTTTTCGGTATCCACTCGCTTTACCCTTGATCGCTTCTCTAGCCCTTCTTTCTTCATTGGTATCTTTTCCGATGTTGCAGTCTCTGGCCGAACTCAGCATAGGCTTTTATACCACGGGTAAATGGACTTTTTACGGCGAATTTCGCAGCCGTACCATTTCACAGTATCATCGAAATACTCCATCCCCTCCAACTTGCTTCAAGTTATCAATCATCCAAAAACCACGACGCACTAGCATATAGCGCACACGAACACCACTCTCGATTCAACACACTTCATTTCACCCCCCCCCCCCCGAATCTACAAAATACCCCTCTTCCAAACGCCGAAACCCACAATCCCTAGCTCCCCTCCCTTTCCTAGCTTCCAAATAGATAGATACTCGGCAGGGGTAATATATGCGGGATGAAAAATCCAACCCCGCCATTTCCTCCTCTTTTCATCCATCCATCCTCTCTTCCATATCGTCGATTTTCGTTTATTCCCTACCAGGGTATTACCATATCTCATCCCCCACATTCGTCATCTATCATCCAAAGCCCCTGCCCCAACCCCCCCACCAATTCATCACTCTTCCTCCCTCCAACCACAGCGCTAGGGTCCAGCCCCATCCATCCATCCATGCATCGGCGCCGCGCCTTTTTTTATTTACTGTGCTCAGGCAGGAGGTATGCCCCATTACATCACCGCGCACTCGCCCTCATTCTGTTTCCCCACCTTGCTACGCGAGATGCGCTCGCGGTTCGGGAGGCCCTTGCCGCCTGAGCGCTTCAGCTCCTCGAGGCGCTCCCGTGCTTGCGGGAAGTTCTGGGCTGGTTGGTGTTAGTCTTGTTCAACAAAAGACGCAAGGGATAAAATTCACTCACCAGCAGCTCTCCAATACCACCGCTTCGCCCCCTCAATATCCTGCGTGCTCCCAATCCCCATCTCCGTAAAATACCCCATCGCATACTCCGCCTTCGCCAGCCCTGCCATCGCCGCCTTGCGCGCCCACAGATACGCCTCCGTATCACTCTGCGCCAGGATCATCTGTCCGCTGCGCTCATCCTTCGCACCAGTAAGATACCACCCACTGAGCGCCAACTCGCTCTGGTGCTCTTCCTGCACCGCAGCGCGGGAGTACCACTGGATACTCTCCTTGGGGTTGATAGCCAGCCCGAATAGCCCGTACTCGTGCGCGGCGCCCAGACGGAACTGGCTGAACTTGTACCCCAGCTCGGCCGCCTGCTTGAACAGGGTAAGACTGTACGCCTCGTCGCGAACCACGCTGGTGTCCTGGCTCTGTGACGCGGAGAAGAGGAGTGCCAGCTCGTGCAGCGCGTGGGGATTCTCGGCGTCCGCAAGGTCTGCGGCACGCTTGAGCCACATCTCCGCTTCGCGCATGTTCTTCTGCTGCCCGAGGAGGCCCTTCAGTTGGATCATACCCATCTTGTACATGGCTGGGGGGTCACCCAGGGTTGCGGCGCGCTTGTACCATTGCATCGCCTTCAGTGGGTCCTTGCGCGTCCCGCCGCCGTCTTCTTGCCCGATCTCACAGCACACAGCTGTCCGGTACGCTGCTTGCGCATGGCCCGCCTTGGCAGCGGATTGGTACAGAGTGAAAGCTTGGGAGGGTGAGGTCTCCAGTCCCAGCGCGCCACGCCCGTAGCAGTCGGCAAGGAAGAACATGGCGTCCATGTTTGGGATCGCGACCATCTTCTTGAGGATCTTGTGCGCCTCGATGACCCAGCGCTCACGTGTCTTGGCACGCGTCTTCGGGTCAGGGATCGTGGCGGCGAGTGTCTCGGAGGCGAGGACCAGCTTACGCGCTAGGACAAGCTGCATGGCTTCGTCCATGGGGTTGTTGCTTACCATGGCGCGCAGGCGCTCCAGCTCGGCTGGCGTGACGATCATCTCGGTTTCAGGTTCTGCGGGTGGCGCGGGCGTGGACGTGGTGGAGGGGTAGCTCGACGGGGCGGTGTGTCCGGAGGCAATGCTGGGGTTGTAGTTGCGGACTGGCGGGGGCTTGTTGTTCATCTGGTTGGCGGCTGGCTGTTGGTGGCCAGGTCTGTATGGTGCTGGGTGTGCTGGTAGACCACCTAGTCCGGTGGCTGCTACTATGTGTCAGTTGTATGAATTAAGTACGTTGTGGTATTCCTACCTCTTCCGCCAGCCCCAATGTTCTCAGTCGCCGACCGGGCAGGTGGCCCGAACCCTTGGTCTTGGCCATTTCCATTCGCATAGCCGTTGTGAGGTCCTTGAGGCTGTCCATTATACTGCTGCTGCTGGCCGTATCCATCGTCCTGGTATCCTTGGCCTTGGTTACCTTGGCGATGTGAGTAATCATCCAAGCCTGGAGAGGCAGCAACACCATAAACGACGGACTGGGCTTCTGCACCCGCGCGAGCATCAACAGACTTTTGATAGCTCACTTGCGAGGCAGCCCCTTGAAGAGGGAGAATATTAGAGCGTTCGTCGGACTTACCTAGTCTAGATTGATCTAAGGACATGGAACGGTTGTGGGGATCTTGAGCTGTTCCTGTTAGACTGTGATAATCGGTTGAGGGGACAAGGCATACCACTACTGTCGAAATAATGATCATAAAGGTCGATAACACTATCATGCCCCTGGCGGCCATTGCCTTGCTCATATCCGGCAGTACCGTATCCATCATCGTAACCACCACCCTGTGGAAGAGGCGGCTGCATGTATGAGCGTTGCGGGGGACCTGGTCTGTCTGACGACGCGGTCGCGGGTCTGGGAATCCCTCGGCCAGCCGAGCCATTGTAGGGTGCGCTACCGCCGCCTGGTGCTTCAAGTGGGTATTGCTGACCGTTCGCATTGAAACCTGTTCGAATAGGTGAGGTTGGGGTGCTTGCTGCATTGGTCTGGTCATAGCCACCTTGCCCATATCCGTCATTCCCTGGCCCCCTTCCATATCCCTGCTGTGGCCCTTCCCGGCCTTGTGGTGGGTATCCTCCCCGTGATGGAGCCGGTCGTCGGTCACCACCATTTATATCTACGCCAGCAAACTGCTGCGCCAGCCCGTCCACTTGCGGTGCTCCCGGACCGGGCATCGGTTTTCGCGCAACTCCTGTTCATTATCAGTAGCCGCTTCCGTGCAAAGAAAGGCAGAACACTCACTACCTGGATCTGAGCCCCCGGGCTCCCCCCCTCCCCTCCCCATGTTAGCCCCCGGCGGTCCATCCTGCCCTTGGTATCCCCTGCTATCGCCTCGTGGTGGAGGCGCATTTCCTCCCCCGCCATATCCTCTGCTATCTCCTCTCGGCGGCGGCTTCTGCGCGTAGAGGTCCGGGCCTACTCGTCCTCCGCGGCCTTGCGCCCTCGGGTCACCACCCCCGCCGTTCGGGTACCCTCCTCCTGATGGGTAGTTCTGGTTCTGTGGTGGATATCCCCTCGGTGGCCCTTGGCCTCCTCCTCCCCCTCCCCCGCGCGCATTCGGCGGCGGCTGCTGGTATCCCTGGTCGTAGCCGTTTCCGCCTCCGTTTTCATAGCCGTAGTTGTCTTGCTGGTACTGGCCTCCTCCCCCTCCTCCGCCTCCGCCTCCCCCTCTCGGCCCATAAGCCTGGTATTGCTGCGGTGGTCGCCCGTCGTTAGGACGGCCCTGGTTGTACGCCATTGTGTGTTCTGGATTCGAGCGCGGCGTGTGTGGGAAGTTGCGGTGTTGCGACCAGCGTTGTGACGGACGAAGTTGGGACGACCTCGGTGGTCAGGTGCGTCGAGTATGATGCTGTGTGGTGGTCGTAAAGCAACCCCTCGTGTGTGCTTTTCTGTTTTGCCCCGGGGACTTGAAAGTGGAGGTTTGTGGAGGATGACTGGAATGGTGCCACTTGACCCTGAAAAAGGCTGAAAAGGGTGGAGGTAAGTTACAGATGGGGGGGTCAGGCAGTAACGCAACTGTACGAAACGCCGTGCCCTCCATGTCCGCTATCCCATCCAACACCAACCAACACCAACCAAACACGCCCAAACTACTTTTACCCAACTATGCGCGCGGCTATAGCTTCTTCCTCTTCTTTACACATGGTTCGAGTTTCGAGTGCGAGTCTTTCCCAGCGGCCGTCTCAGCCTCGTCTTAAGCTCAATATACTCGTAATTACGGTGTCCCAGTTAGACCACCCATGTAGTTTATTATATACTACTATCGTCCTACATCATCACGATTTATTTTGTTTATTTAACTTTAACTTATACTCCCACATACTCACCCCTCTCCCTCCCCCCACCAATTATTCCCCCCCCCTTTCACAATGGTTCGCAAGGCCCCGAAGCCCACGCCCTGGGGCATGTACGCCAAAATGACTATCGGGTTCGTCCTTCTTCATCCCCCCTGCCCCTCCCTCTCCCCACAAGACCCAAGCTAACCCCCTCCCCCCCCCCCCCACAGCGGCGCAATCCTCTGCATCGGCGGCCCCGCCCTCACCATGTGGCTCACGCCCACCGAAGAAGAGCTCTTCGCCCGCTACAACCCCGAGCTACAGCGCCGCTCGCTCGAGAACAGGCAGCAGAAGCAGGAGGAGTTTGATAACTTCGTGACGCGGCTGAAGGAGTATAGCAAGAGTGATAAGCCGAGTGAGTGCCCATTATCCGCTTATCTGGCTGGAGGGAGGGAGGAGGGAGGATGATAGGACAAGGGCTAATAACTCCATAGTCTGGGAAGCAGCAGCGGAAATGGAGGCGAAGAAGAAGAAGATCGCCGATGCCGTGCGCCTAGCCGAGCAGAAACAGGCTGAGCAGACGAAGACACCCCTACGCGGCGTCGTTGATGCCATCGAGGCTGCACGCAATGAGGAGGGCGCTGAGGGGAAGGTGGATGTCAAGAGGTAAATACGTCCAGAGGGTGATTTGGGAAGGCACGGAGACAGAGGCGTGGGAACAGAGGCGCGGCACCCGGATTGGGTGGGTGTGAGATTATATGAGGAGGCCTGTGTATGATACTGGGAGGATGTGTATTATATGGGTGCGGATCGCCCGCGGTGGAAGAGTGTATGGATAGGTGGGTGAGCTATGTGATACGGACCGGCGCGCGGCGTCTGGGGATATTTCGGATGGGCATCTCAGCCATGAATTGTTTGGGGGGTTGGATCTATGACTTGTGGTCTGAATATAATTCCACTTTTAATGAGGATTTAGGCAGTGTTTGGGGGTCATGGAGTGCTTGATTATGAGTGAACGATTATGGGGTGCGTGGTTGTGGAGTGTTTGATGGCGAGGTGAATAATAGAGAATTTATGGCTATGAAGCGCCTAATCATGAAGTTGCATAATACGAACTCTGTTTGAAACCCGTTCTCGTATGGTCATAGAAGTAATTCCAAGGAGTTTTCTCCGTGCCATGGCGGTTGTGGTTGTGGTAGAAATAGGACGGTAAGAAGCAGGACCCTGGAGACTATTTGATAAGGTGGTCTCAGGGGTGGGCTTGGATGAGATGGAGGGGTAGATATATCTGCCAGACAAAAACCGAACAAGCCCAGTCACAAATTTCAAGGGTGGTAGACTGTTTCTTTCCGCACAGAACACATCAAGGCAGGGGCTTGGGTGGGATGGAGGGGTAAATATATCTGCAAACAAAGGCGGAACAAGCCCAGTCACAAATTTCAAAGACAGTCGACTGTTTCCCTTCCACACAGAACACATCAAGGCAGAGTCGCCGGTTCGGCTGTCGATAAAATAGCTCGGGCTTGTTGTTTCTCTAATCGTATATCGGGCCCGTATCCCGTCTCGCATTCCTATCACATCCACATTCACAAAACCGCAAGTAGTCCCGCATACACGTATCAGACTTGCATTGAACAACAGCTACAACAGCTACTATGCGCATCCAGCAAGCCCCGTATCACGTAAAAATTCCCAGCCCGAGTAGTCCCAAACCCATCGTCCCAACGATTTAGCGGGTGTTGGCGGCCACCTTAGCCTGAGCTCCCTTGGAGCCCTGCTTGCTCGTGATCCTCGATCCTCCCTTGGCAGCGTTCGCAGCGGTCTTGGCCTTGTTGGCCTTCTTTGCCGACTCGGCAGCGGACTTCTTCTCCTTGCCGGACGCGATGGCGGCCTTGCGGGCAGCCTCACGCGCCTCGGGGCGTTGTGTGCGGCGCTCCTTGATCACATCGAGCGAGGCGCCGACAATGGCACGCTGGCTCTTGACGGTGCGGCGCGAGCGCTTCTTGGCGACTTCCTGTAGTTCGGCTGCGGTTAGCTTCCTCTTCTTCTTCCTATCCTTCCCATCTGCGCCGGGATTGCGCCTTCGGAGTGCTGCGTACCTCGGAGATACCCTTCTTGTGTTGTCTGCGGAAGAGGACGGTCCATGCGATACGGCGGGGGTTCTTGCGCTGGAGGAACAGGGACTCGGACTTGCCCTTCTGGAAACGGAAGATCTTGCTGTCGCCGCGGACGTAGATCTTACCCTGCAACACGTAAAATTGTCAGCCTTTCTGTATAACCTGAGATGTGTGCCCTCCCTCGCGGACGGCTGTGTGCTCTCCTTCAATCGTCCAGCCCGGAGCGACGACGCGGATTCGCCCCTCGTCATCGCGGCTTCCACCTCTCTGCGTCATGGATTTGGGAGGGGATCGGATTGTATGTGTACCTTTCCAGGATAGATCTTCGTGCCGGAGAAGGTGTCGTCGTAGGTACGCATCTTGATTTATTTCCTCCGACTGTGTTGTTAGGTGTCGATGGCTGCCGGCTGCTGGCGTCGTTGTCGTTGGCCTCGCGAGATTTCCGTCTGCCCATGGTGGACTTAGGGCAAATGTTCTCGCTTATGAAATTATGCACTAGCCAATTAGCGCCAAGAGCCTCAAGAGGTTCGGTTCAATGCCAGGGTCGGGGCGGAAAGTCTTGGCAACGCGGAACACCAAAGAGAGATCGAAAATATCTGCGAAGTCACGTTTTTCATATCTGGTGGTTTTATGGTAGTGTAGGAATCATCTATTCACAATTTTACAACTAATTGATTTGGGCTCGGCCAATTTTAAGGGCATATCACTTTTCTCCGTCCGCTTCTGAAAGTTCATGCATGGAAATACCGACTGTCGGGCTTCATGGCTCTCCAACCTGTGGAATATCAGGTAGAGGCTTCTCCGTTACTACATGATGATAAAGGGAACTTCTGGGCGCCGCTCTACAGCCATGATTGTTCTTTCACTCCAGAGATCTTCGGCAAGGTCATGCGGAATCTCATCCTCAATCCAAACTTGAATTCGAGCTTCATCGCCCGTGCAGATATCACGTTGGACGCACCATACACAGATGATGGCGTGTATGAACCCGTACCAATGCTTCTCGATGTTTCGGGATTCACTCTCAATACTGTCATGGTCCGGAGTTTGATCCCACGGAACCCGTTGGTTGACAAGCCTATGGATCAGACGTGCCTCATATACTCGCAGAAAGGTGAAATAGAGACCAAGTCTCTTGTCATCTATCTCCCCCACTTCAAATCTCCTTCCGAGTCTCCTTTCTATCATCCAGCTGTTCATGGCATAGCCTTTCTCCATACGTTCAATTCAGAGTCTCAGCAAGGACAAGTCTCTATTCATTACTCGTTCTTTGATTCTGCACCCAAGACAGAGGCTGTCCAACGAACGGCTCTGCACTTGCTCAGGATACTTCATAAACACGGCAACGGGCTGCTGAACGGTTATGTCAAGAAGGTACATCACGACCTTGTTCTGCCCCAGGCAAAAACACAACAGACGTACGCAAAGCTCAAGACGACGTATGCCAAAGACCTCATCACATCCTGGGCTGAGGTCACAGATCCCGCAAAGCACGTCTTTGAAGATCTGGGGATAGCCGCGTTTTTAATCCAGCTGTGGGCGGAAATGTATCCCAACGGCGACAACTGGCCGGGATTTGTGGATATCGGCTGTGGCAACGGTCTTCTCACACATATTCTCATCCAAGAAGGCTACACTGGCTGGGGTTTTGACGCAAGAAAGCGGAAATCCTGGGATACATATTCACCAAAGACACGAGAAAATCTGAAAGAACTCGTGTTGATACCGTCTGTAATACAAAGTCATGACGAAAACCCCGGCAACAAAACAGATTTAACCAATGAGCAAGACAACATTCAAGGAACCCATCCAGGGACCTTCCGAAAAGGAACTTTCATAATATCAAACCATGCGGATGAACTAACGCCGTGGACCCCTATCTTAGCCAACCTATCCGAGTCGCCTTTCATAGCAATACCATGCTGCAGCCACAACTTGACCGGTGCACGCTTCCGCGCGCCGCCGTCGAAGGAAGCTGGCATCTCGAGTTCGGCGTACGCTTCATTGGTCGCCTGGGTGTCGAAGCTAGCGATAGATTGCGGGTGGGAGCTTGAGAAGGAAATGTTGCGAATACCGAGTACAAGGAAAGAATGCTTGCTGGGACGGAGGCGTGTAATGCCATTTTCAGAAATTAATGTAAAGGACGTGATTGCTGCATATGGCGGTGCCTCGGGGTGGGAAGAGAACGCGTTAAAATTAGTCAAGGTCGGGCCTAGGGGGCACTGAAGAGTTACTGTCTAGGCCAGCCAATTTCTCTCTGCGAAACTATGAATCCCTCCCTGTCAACCTGTCAAACAACATCAAAATTTGATGATCTTTGTGTCGCAGCTCCTCTGCATCCAGTTGGTGCATGTTCTCCAAATTCGTAAGCTTGTCCTGATATGCCTGGCATTCATCGTTTATATCATCCACGGTGGCCTCTAGATCCCGATTGCGCGCCTTCAGATTCCGATTGCTCGCCTCTAGATCCAGGATCCTAGCGGCCGACTGGATGTCCTCCTCCATATACCCTTTGATCGTCCATCGGGCAGATTCAAGTTTTTCCCTGCGGTAGAAACTTTTTTTTAAGAGCCTGCGGAAGTTTCTTTTGTTGAGTTTCCACTTGATTCTAGTGCGGGGCTTAGCACCTGTTGCGTTGCCAGTTCGGTTAGAGGAGCCAGCTGCGTTGACAGGCGCTACGGTCCCTTTGCAAGCATCTATTGCTGCTATCCCCTCGAGAAGATGAGCCTGCCCTCGGATACTAGCAGACATGAAGTGGCGGGAACTATGAGCAGGAGTCCTGGCAGGAGCCCGGGCCTCAGCAGCACTAACATAGGTCCCTGGAATCCGGCTCGGGCCCTGTGGAGGGAGGCCTACTCTCCGGTCTGTATGGAGACCAGGTTGCCCATATCCAGACGAACGGCCTGCTGATACTTCTGCGCTGGCATTCCTGGAAGCTTGGTTCATCTGTTGAGCGATGGATGTAGGGAGGCTTCGGGTCGTCGGGCGCATAACGGAGAAGGAGGGGCTCGGCGATCTGGAGAGTGCCGGTACCATTTTGGTGGTCGGTAGGCGTATAGTAGGATTGATTCTAAATTTCAAAAACCAAGTTCAAATATATGACCGAAAATGAAGTAGATGGAAGTGAGACTATGTAGTGATGGGAGTGAGAAGATAAGGGGCGTTCTGAGACTTAATGTTGATAGATGTGACCGAAAGAGAAGGAGACTAATATGCAGGTATGGGAGTTGCAAAAGAAAGAGGGAACATAATTAAATAGACTGTGAGATTTTGATTTGGACTGCTCGTCGTACCTCATTCTTTTGGATCTGAGGTTCAGTTATCACGGTCGATATGGAAACAGCGCTCACAGAGTAGCGTCCCGCCGGTCGAATTAGCTCAACGCCAGCATTTTAGCTTTGGGACTCCAACATAAAACACACCACAGTATTCTCGCCTAGCGTATTAACGCAGATTCAAGCAGATTGGACATTGGAAGATTGACTGTGGCTGTATTCGAAGAGTTTGTACAAGCAAGTCATCAAGAGCCTACTTCACCCTTCGAATGACCTCCTAAGATCTGTTCTGCCAAGCTGAGACACAAATCCATCCACGCATGCGCGCCCAAAACAGTCTATCGCATCACCCCAGCAGCCACCCTTGCGTAGTGGCGTCACGGTAGCGTCCCGTCCATCCTGCTCGGTTTTTTACTTTTTTTACTCGACATCGACCTTCTCATCGAAAGTCTCGCCAGCAACCAAGTCTGGGATGTCGTCATCGTCCTCCTTCTCCTCACCCTCCTTCTTCTGCATCGACTGGTAGCTCTCGGCCAGCTTGCGGAGCGAGGCCAGGGAGTCGGGGCCCAGCTGGTTCAGGATGCCGGGTACGAGCTCGGTAAGCTCCTTATCCTCACCGTTACCGTAGATGGCGAAGGTGTTGGATGGGACAGCGGCGTGCACTATTTGAATACTGTTAGCCTCGTAGCTCATATTTCCGTACACCGCCTTGTATATTGCCGTGGAATGTATTTCCGTCGGGTATGTGGCCTTGGAAGAGGCTGCCGGGTGGAAAGTTGAATGTACATACCCTTTGGTGCAGCGAAGTGGATAACGTTTCCGTCGGCCTTGAACATGTTGACCTCCTCGATGGCCTGGATGGGCTGCACGTTGATCTTCTTAAGAGCGGTCTGGAGCTTCTTGTCGTCCACACCAAAGTTCTTCGGCTTGGACTTGACCTTACGTCTCGGGGTACCCTTTCCGCTATAATCCCACAATTGTCAGCCTCAATCCATCAACTTCGTCTGCCCTGATGGCACAAATGATGGATCTCCATCATTTGTGCCTGGTTCGTCTTTCGGAGGTAGATGGGTCCAGGTTTGGAAATCTGCTTACCCTACAAAGATATGTCAGCAGGGGTGTCGGTGAAGGATGAACTGCCTTCCACGCTCTTCAAAGCTGTCTATTCGGCTCATCTCGGGGTCAGTAGTCCCACTCACCAATGCGCACCGACTGCTGCATCTTCTTCAGCTTCTCCATATCCATGATGGCGGTTGTGTTGGGGGTGGACTGAGGGGGAAGGATGACTGTAGGGCAACCTGTTAGCACTTGGAAGGCGTATCGGAAGTCGTAATGTCGAAAATCCGATCAATGGGCGTTGGAAGGGACACGTACAAGTCGCTGTTTCCACAGTAATTCAATAATTTGACCGTCGTCGTCGTGTCGTTGACAAGGGAGATGGCGCATTGGCTTTGTGGGCGCCAAGACTTCACACTAAGCGAAACGAATCTACGCTTCGACGGAGTACTATGTGGGGAGCCGCAGTGATGAATGAGCGACTTTGATTCACTTGGATATATATTATTATTTTATTTACTGCTAGAGACAATTATAATGCTGCCTCTATATATTAGTATATTACAATCTGGTAAAATTAAATGGTTGAGCTCACTGTGCTGTCGGCTCCTCGGCGGTTGAAGGCTCGAAATTTGTGGCGTCATTTCTGGGGCAGGTACACCAACGAATGAGAATACATCAGAATATCACTCTAAAAGATATCGTAGGTTTTATATAAATATCCATCGAGGCATATCTTTATGCCTGGCTTTGCGGGTAATTGGCTTTTGTTGATGGCGGTGAGAAATAATATTTGTTGATGTAATTATATTTATTAACGTTAGTTAAGTTAAGTTAACTTGTAAGTTAGTTATATTTATTTCAGTGTTCGGCACAGATACCGGAATACCTGTCAGGGTTAGCAATAAAACTCATTAAACTCATCCTACTCATGAGTTGGTGAGTAACTCAAACTCGATGAGTTTGAGTTCTGCGTTCTCAACTCGTGAGTTAGACGAGTAGAAGTTATGTGATTGGAAGTCACGTCATCTACAAATCATAAGAAATTGTTGAACACATAATTGGAGTTTGACGACTTGGCCTCCGACTCGCACTCTCATATACTATTACTGTGAGCTGGGTGCCCTGTGTCCTTACACAGCATAGCCTGCTATACAGATGGCAAGCCAGCTCTCTAAACCCATTAGAGAGTCTATTAAGAGCCCTAGCCTTGGCTTCGCCCCTATATATACACAGTTGGTATACAGGCTACGCATGTGCAGCGTACTACCAGGAATGCAGTTCCAACAGAAATGGAATGATTATTCTATAACTTGCATGTATAACGAAAGTGCCAAACAAGCGAAAGTGCCAAAATCATGCGGTGACCAACCCCCCCAACTAAATGTTAAATTCCTCCACAACAAAACATGCGCCATAAAAATGATGAAAGCAAATTAGTGCTAGCTATCCAAGCTATGCAAAGCGACCCAAATTTGCGCCTTCGAGTTGCAGCTAGGATCTATTCCGTAGACCACCGCAAGCTACGTCACCGTTTATAAGGCGTACCTTCACGACGCGATATCCAAGCCAACTTATGGAAATTAAGTAACCTAGAAGAATCAGTTCTTGTTCAGTATATACTTGACTTAGCTGCTAAAGGGTTCCCTCCTCAGTTGTCTATTGTTGAAGATATGGCAAATCGACTACCTGCAACATGCGACGCGCCACGCATCGGGTCACGTTGGGCTTCAAACTTTGTTAAGCGCCATGTAGAGCTCCGGACACGCTTCCAGCAAAAATACGACTACCAGAGGGCTAAGTGCGAAGATCCAGAAGTCATTCATGGCTGGTTTGAGCTTGTATGGAACACAATTCTAAAGTATGGCATCAACAATGCAGATATCTACAACTTTGATGAGACTGGGTTTATGATGGGCGTCATCTCAAGCACAACGGTAGTAACGAGCTCAGATGGGCAGGCAAAGGCAAAAAAGGTGCAGCCTGGCAATCGGGAATGGGTTACAGTAATCCAAGGCGTTAGTTCTCAAGGTTGGGCAGTGCCGCCATTTGTCATTGTGGCAGGTAAAAACCACCTTGCATCTTGGTATGAGAATAGCGGATTTCCAGCAGATTGGGTAATCGCTGTTACTGCAAATGGCTGGACTACAAACGAGAGAGGTATGGATTGGATTCAGCATTTTGAGAAGCACACAAAGCCCGGAGTGTTGGTGGTTATCGCTTGTTAGTCCTTGATGGTCATGAGAGCCATGTCATACTGACATTCGTTGCACTCAGTTTGCTATCAAACTCAAGAGCAAACTTGGAAATCTCCTCCTCAAACCTACAAGTCACTATACATATTTTGGCTTATCACACCAACAACAAGAGCAATACTACTCAACAATTGCTACAACCATCTATGATTCATTACACGTCATCGCTCCTTAGTTACTAGGCCGATATTACCACATAGCATATCTCTACAACCCTCTATGATTCATTACATGACATCACTCCTTAAGGGCTAATACTACACATGACATATCTCTATCAACTAGAGGCCTAGGAACATGAACGATAGCTCCAAAAGCTTCTACAACTGTCTATGCTTCATTACACATCATCGCTCCTTAGTTACCTACAAGATTGGTTAAGAAGTTATGACATAATCTGTCTATAGGGGTACTCTGACCTTGGCCCTCCTTTCACTTCCTATAGGCTACGAACCTAAGAGATGGTTCTATGGGATTCTCTTACGTCGACTACAGTTACCAAGCCTGGTTAGTCATGGAAAGTCTTGGAAAATGAGAGAACTACACTCCTTTAGCATAAATAGGATTGCCCTTTCCTTAAGAAAGGGCAAGCAGACAATACAGTAAATCGACTATCACATACTTCTACGTCTTTTCCAAGCTTCCAAGCATTGATCTTGTTACTCCTTGTTTCTGAAAAGTCAGTGAGGTGCTAATCTCTGACTTATCCCTGAGTTCTCAGACTCAACATTTGTTACAACTTGTCTAAACCACTCCACTACATCATACACCTGATTGCTGCATTCAGTGTGTTAAATAGTATGAACCCGTATTCTGCCAAGGAATGCACATGCTTTATGCTGGCATGTGCATTCCTTGGCAGAATACGGGTTCATACTATTTAACACACTGAATGCAGCAATCAGGTGTATGATGTAGTGGAGTGGTTTAGACAAGTTGTAACAAATGTTGAGTCTGAGAACTCAGGGATAAGTCAGAGATTAGCACCTCACTGACTTTTCAGAAACAAGGAGTAACAAGATCAATGCTTGGAAGCTTGGAAAAGACGTAGAAGTATGTGATAGTCGATTTACTGTATTGTCTGCTTGCCCTTTCTTAAGGAAAGGGCAATCCTATTTATGCTAAAGGAGTGTAGTTCTCTCATTTTCCAAGACTTTCCATGACTAACCAGGCTTGGTAACTGTAGTCGACGTAAGAGAATCCCATAGAACCATCTCTTAGGTTCGTAGCCTATAGGATGTAAGGACACAGGGCACCCAGCTCACAGTAATAGCATATGAGAGTGCGAGTCGGTCCTATAGGTCTACTATAAAGGATACAAAAAAGATGAAGGGGGGACCCCGTTGAGTCTGTTTCCTTAAATACCTGAAACGGGTCCGAGTCGGTTAATCCTGTTACGATGGTCATAGGGGTCAAGAAGCCAGTCCGGAGAATATTAAGCTAGATTGAATCTAAAGAGAGAAGAAGAAGAAGAAGAATGGAAGGTGAGGCTATTCCTCGTAATATACAGTTGTCTGCTTAGCGGTTGTAGCCTTGGTGGCTAAGGCTGCACCCGTAACAACCGTAACAACCGTAACAACCGTAACAACCGTAACAACCGTAACAACCGTAACAACCGTAACAACCGTAACAACCGTAACAACCGTAACAAGCTGTAAGCTATAATTGTAACAAATCCAACCCTAGCCCTAAACCTTCACCGCAACAGGTCCGCATCGACCCCAAACCCACACCCTTACCATTCCCCACTATAGTGTAACCCGCTATGTGCTCCTTAACTGGTACGAAAAAGCACCGAGTCAGTTTTCATGCCCGTGGTGACCGTGACAGCCCTGAGGCGGGTCCTTCGAGTATCTAGGTAAGGAGGCATACTTACATAGGAAGTGAAAGGAGGTCCAAGGTCAGAGTACCCCTATAGACAAATTATGTCATAACTTAACCAATCTTGTGGGTAACTAAGGAGCGATGACGTGTAATGAATTATAGAGGGTTGTAGAAGCTTTTGTAGCTATCGTTCATGTTCCTAGGCCTCTAGTTGGTAGAGATATGTCATGTGGTAGTATTAGCCCAGTGTAACGCTGACTTCTAAACGATAGATGACACAGAGGTTTCTTGCGTAAGGTTGACTTAACAGAGGAGGCAGGGGATTAAACACAAAGGCTTTCCAAGTAACACGTTATAGTATTGTAAAGAATACTATATTGAGTTGAGCACAAGCTCCTATCTAAGGAGATACTATCTACTTATATAGTGGCATCGTGCCAAAGGGATATCCGTGGATAACATGGATAACATAATATCCATGATATCCAATGTTATCCATCACATGACATTCCGTGGATCTCTGTGGATAACATGGATAACATAATATCCATAATATCCAATGTTATCCATCACGTGAGGTTGCAGCTGTAAGCGTTAGCCATAGCACTTAGCCGTAACACCCAGTAACTAAGGAGTGATGACGTGTAATGAATCATAGAGGGTTGTGGCAATCGTTGAATAGTATTGCTCTTGTTGTTGGTGTGATAAGCCAAAATATGTATAGTGACTTATAGGTTTGAGGAGGAGATTTCTAAGTTTGCTCTTGAGTTTGATAGCAAACTGAGTGCAACGAATGTCAGTATGACACATCTAGCAATTCCAGTAACATCTGCCCCATCAGAGCGGGTATTTAGCAATGGCGGTGATATTATCACAAAGAAACGAAACAAGTTATCACCTTAACAATTAGATATCTACTCTGCTTACGGAATTGGGGTCAGTTGCCAGATGCTAACAGCGAGGGGATGATGCAGATGATGAGGCTGAGAAATAAGGCTTATTTGCAGTATTATATTTTGTCACTTCTATAGCCACATTTCATTGTCTACAGTAATTATCAAAGCTTCATTTTTCTTAATTATGGCTCAAATTCCTGTTAAAGTATCTGTAAATACCTACCTTACCTAGGCAAGGTCGCCCAGATACTACCTTACCTGGTGAGGACCTAGATACTACCTGGGTAGTATCTGCCGAACACTGATTTATTTTGTATGAATCAATTAAATGTATACCACGAACATATATTCCTCAAACCGAACCAAGGAATCACTACCATTGAACATTCTTCCTTGTATAATAGCCTACAATACCCCCTTCTAATATTACATACCGTGGCATGACCGTATAATATACTCCCGCTGAAAAACTTCCCGACTCCATCCACATCATCGCATTTTATCATTCGAGGCTAGTCATCCTTATTGCTACCTGCAATATCACCGCCGAAAAGACCGAGCCAGAAATCGAGCCACCACATCAGCCTCCAGTAGAAGCTGGCAAGCACCCAGTCGAATTCCCCGTCATCCTTCCTGGGCACCTCGCTCCCAATGATATCTCCAGTAATCCAGCTGATGACGGGTATGCTGGAAAGTAGTTTCTGCGAATAGCTTTGTTGTGGAAGCAAGGCATCTGATGCGGGCAGGAGCCGCATTTTCTTCGCTGTAGGAATGCGTCGGCAGAACACATCGTCATCCTTACTCCTGGCAGGTGGTTGAGGTCCACCCGTGAGGGTTGAAGTTGATTGTGTCTCGCTAATCGTCGCGGTATCCAAAGTAACCTCACTCGTATCTGGACTTGGGGGGCTAGGAATACTAGCCCACCTGACTGCACTTGACACCGTCGAATTCCTCGGCAAGCTTCCAAATGGCCTGTCCCTCCCCGCCGCAGACCAGTCTTTCCTGCCAGCCGCGGCCCCGAGTGTATGCCTTTCCTTCCCTCCATACCCCGGCGCTGGTACTGCGTCGAGCTCTGTTGGTGGTCCGCCTCTCCACAACTCTGCGTAAACACTGAATCCCATAACCGTTTGTGGGCTTTCTTCAATCGCCACCTCCGCTGCTTCTTCGCTTTCGAATGTGATCTTGATCCAGTTTTCGCCACCGGCAAAGCTTAAAGCTTTCGCCCTCTCTTCTGGCGTCAGGGTTCTGGCTCTCAGTGCGGTGGGATCTCCGCGACCGGCCTTAAACTTTAGCTGAGACAGAGCTGGGTCCCGTGGGTAGTCTTCGAGAATCGTGCCCGCAAGAGTCTCGTAGTGGGAAATGGCTGCATATTGTTGTGCGCTGGGAAATCCACGGAGGATGACTTCGGTTGGGATGCGGTGGACGGGGTGGTGTACGAGGTTCGGCTCATGATCCGTGTCATTGTTGCGATCATGTTGCAACACAGGTTGTGTGAGGCTTGGCTGCGAACCTGAGGGCCGGCGAGATTTATCTGTGGCCGAAGTGCCTGAGGGCGTCGGTTTTCTGGTGAGTTCGGCCACGTATGAGGAGAAGATCGCATCTGCAACAAGAATATTCGGGTCTTCTTTCCTTGCTGGCGTTCCTGTCTTTGAGCGCGAACGCCTGACCGATCGTCCAAAGGAGCCGCTTTCGGGGATGGGCTTGCGTGCGCGGGTGTTGTGTTGGGTTTCCGAGCTGTGGGAGTTGAGGTCAGCAAAAGGTTCAGCAGGGTCATCGGCCTTGTCGTGGCGATACCGAGGATGAGATGGAAATCGAGGAGGACATACCCAGGGAAGACCATCGCATATGGGCGCTGGATCCCGTCTTCTCCTACATATAACTCGTCGTCCGGAACATTGTGGAGAATGAGAGGAGGCATTGCGGCTGTTTATATTATGGGAAGGACGTATAAACAAAGAAGCACCTAGATGGCTGCGATGTGAAGCAGTTGTGAGGGGACAAAATCGGATCTGTTGCTGAGGTCGCTGTCGCAGCGATTTATTGTTGAACTTCGCGATTTATGCTGATCCCTGGAGCAACGCGATTCGTCGCCCTGCAGGGAAGGAGTTATTCCGTACCGAGCCGCCTATGTCATAGCTCCACAACGTCGACATCAAGGTTGACTGACTGTGTTTGACTACATAATACCATTTATTTACAACCCACGACTGTGAGAAACATTAGAACAATTAAAACAATCAATTGCCATTAGATACTTCAAGATGTTTAGATTTGTACGTATGCGGCCATCTTGGGGTTGAGTATGGAGCTAACAGCCAACCAGCGCAAAGGCCTCGACGTGATTACGCTGTTCCACAGCCCAACAGCCCCAGCTTCGATGAGAGTCCACAGTCTCTTGAAGCAAGCTTCAGCGGCCGCAGGAGAGACAGCTACAGAGGAAGAAGGATAACGGCAGCTTCCAACGGCCATTGGTAAGCTCCCAGCGGTTGGAACAGCGTGGCGTGGCGCAGGCTGACAGAAGGTAGACGGTCGACTGTAACAACGGAAAAGTGGTGGCAGGTGCAAATGAATCGAAGATTCGGAAATTGTTGGAATCGCTGCTAAAGTTTTGAGTTTAGCGTTCCCACACCGGCGGTGTCTCTCGATACCTCAAGTGAAGGTGGCGAGAAGTGTTGTTATATAGATTGGTGAATTTCACTCCACACTTTCCAGGCTCACGAGCAAACCAAGTAAATAGCGAACCCAGGGTGGTTTTGAATGTGCTGAGTCAACATGCTTCTTTCAATTCTTGGTGGGGACCTGTGGTAGCAGCAGGGAGGGAGCGGGGTTTACAGTACGTTTCGTGATCAATAACAGCCTCCGTCATATTTCCAGCAGTCTCATTATTATAGTCTGTTTGCAGCGTTGGTTATATGGGATCGGGTACTGACTGAGGTGTGTGGCTTCATACGGGCTGCCGTTTGGAGAGAAAAGTGAAATATAATCCAAGCACTTGCAGCTTGAGTCGAGGAGGATTAATGAGCCTGCTATTGTCAGAAGCAAGAAGATGCTGGTTATCTCGTTCTCGTCAAATCCACTACCGTGGCGCTGTCGCGCCTTCCCATCTCGTCAAGAAGTGGAAGTGAATTATGTGTTTTTTTGTTCTCTTTGTTGGCTTCTGCTCCTTCCTTCTCTCCTGCCTCCCTCCTGCCTGAGTGTTTACTTTTAGAATTGCACAACTGGGTGGCACCTTCCTGCTGGATACTTGGCACTCAACGCTTGATGCTTGACGTGGACGCGTCTTCCCTCTCTACTCTTTCTTTCTTAACTTTCTCTTTCAACTTCTCTCTCAACTTCTCTCTCAACTTTCTCTCAACTTCTCTCTCAACTTCTCTCTCAACTTCTCTCTCAACTTCTCTCTCAACTTCTCTCTCAAACAAGGTCGACACAACGTCGTAACTATTGCAATTCAACACGGAAATCCGCTTAAATTGGCTTGACAGTTCTGTGCCATCTATAAGAAGGCTCCAGGTTAGTGCTGTTTATCCACTCCAATTATAAACCATGTTCTCAACACCCAATGCAGATAAACTCAGCTTCAGCTTCAATATCTGCAACTCGTGCCTTCCGATCTGACCTACATGATGAGTGTATGTCATCCCTGGTCACCAGTCTAAGCTTCATTTCTAATCTTGTAGGCTCTTACTACTCTTTCGGATTTCGTCCCACAGATGCCACCCATGGCACCGTCAATGCCGCCCAATGGCTTCATTGAGCTGCCTGTCGTCCCAGGATATGTGCCTCCTGAGCTGTTTACCAATTTCCCGCCAAATGCTCCTGCTTTCTTCTCGACCAACCTCAGATCACGCGCTATTCGACTTGTACCGAAACCGGCACCACAATATGCGGTCCGAACCAATGATCCAAACGATATTTACGAAAGAGCTAATTTCTATCGAGATAAATATCCAGATTTCGTTCATACTATCCAATCTTTGCCGATTGCCTGGGACGATCTATACACTTATTTTGATCCCTTGGATATCTGGATGGAGGGAGCCGGCTTCTGCTTCCACGTCATCCACCGTCTCGCAGGCACCAATATCGAGAAAGACGACAGATAGAGTCATTTGTCAACGAATGGTCTGTAGTCAATCTCGCAAAGCTTGCCAGAGTGCCCCCCAACACGCCTGTCATAGCGGCATTTGAACCCGAAGATTATCAGTACTTCGACTTCGACAACTTGGCTCCCACCGACATTGTTGATGTATGCAATTTTCTTGCTCAACGGTGCTATGCTCTGCAACCACAACTCCATCTTATCAGAGAAGGCCTCGCCCGGTCCGTGGAAATTGATAGAAATAATTTTGCTCCCCCAGGTTAGTTCAGATCAACAAATCATCGCCGCACTATGCTATTTGCCACCATTTGAGCGAAAAATAACAAAATTCCCGGCAGTTCCAACTCGATCCGGCCGAAAGGCCCAACACCAGATTCCATGGCAGGAATCTCCAAATTCAGACGCAATAGGGCTTGGGATTGCTTCTGCTAGAGAGTCTACTGGAGAATATCAGCACCGGCGTGAAGTCTCGTTCGTAAAGAATTGCGGCATGGTGAGGAGAACGGATATCCCTGCGCTCCCATATATACTAACTATTTGTTAAGGTCCGCTACCCTCAATGTTCGCAGACGAAAATCGAACCGATTTACACGTATAATCCGCATAGAATCTCTCGGAGTGGACCTGTGGCTCTGGCCGGGCCGATTCTAACAGCCTTTACGCCACCTCGCGACTTCAAAGACCGAGCATTGGCCAACGATGACGACCAGAATCGAGTAATATCTGGTTCCAAGCCTGGAGTTAACCGGAACAGGGCCTATTCAAATGTGTCCCGGAACAAAACCTTTACAAAGTACGAGGCTGAAGCACTCGTTGAAGTCAAAACTGCGATTCTAGATCCACAGAATCCTGCGGGGAAAAATTATTATATTCAAAACTCCACGAACCTCATGAACACCGTAATCGAAGAAGGCCATTCGATCTATATCAGGGGATTTACAGACGGTGAGTTCACTTCAGACCTTGTTCCAACAATGATGGAGTGTTGCGGAGAGATCGGGGGATATAGACCCATCAAGGGCTTTGCATTTATGACGTAAGTTATTGAACCCTCGCCATGTTTTCGTTGCCTCTAACCCTTGGTCTTAGCTTCAAAGCCCATACGAGCGCTACAGAGGCAATCCGACGCTTCAATGGATTCTTTTATGATGGCAGAGTATTGATAGTTGCACCCTATCGGAGAAAGGCCGAGTTTGATAATCGGAATGGGCCAAATCGCTACCAAGGAGACTCGTTTAGAGGCAACCAGCGCTACATGAACGATCATACTGGAATCCATCCGAAGCTGGTGAGCACAGGCGAACTTATAAAACCACTGAAAGAGATCAGAATGCCAGTGTTTCAAACAATGGAGCTCAAATGCCGAGAAAAGAATCCAGTACACCTTCAAAACGACACAATACGCCGTCCATACAGAATCTTGCGATTAAGAAGACATATATTGAAAGTGGCACTACGCCCAGAGGTGGGAAGGGCCACCGACCGACAAGTTCAGGCCAGTCAACCAAGACGACGAAGTCTGTTGACACAGGCAAATTACGGTAAGTAATGCCCATACCTACAATTTGGCAGATACTGACTGCATACGACAGAAGCGACAGCATCCCAGACATTCCAACCAAGAAGGGGTCATTTGTTTCTGAGGACCTCTCTGTACCCGAGGAAGAAAAATATGGGACCTCATTCAGCAGCTATAGTTCATCCTTTACTCACAAGGAAAGCATATTTGATGAATCGCCAGCGGAGACCTACCACACCATGAAAAATTTCGAGAGCTCGTTTGGCAACAAGGAAAGTTCTATTACCAGCGGCGTTATTTCAGTTTCCCCCGAGCGTCGTGATCCCAGCTCGACCATGGGAGAATCGGATAGGCTTGGAAAAAAGAAAAAGAAAAAGCTTAAGAACATCGATTTTAATGTAATGCCCACTGCTGGCACTGGCCACTCAACACGCAAGATGACAGGTGAGGCGATGAGTGCCGAGGCATTAAAAGCTGAGGGCGTATCTGATGCAAACAACGACGACGCTGGCTCTTCTAACCCCCTGAAACTGGATTCTAAGACAAGAGACGAAGAATCCTCCACGCAGCCTACTTCAAATAAAAGCCTGGCAGGAGTCGGCGAGTTTGGAGGCAGAGCACCTTTGAAAAGGCCGACGAAGGTAAACCATGGTTCTCCTAGAAAGTTAACCACGGACGAGGGGTCGCCCAGATCCTCAAAGAAAAAGCATGGCAAGACGGACAGTAATACCTCATCTTTTGGTATCGAGGCCAGAGTGAAGAAATATGAAGGCTACGAACTAACTACGAATGAGATTACTTACAACCCTGGTGAGGGCCCTCAGTCAGAGGCTAGAAATCATGTGAAGGTCAAGTTTTTTAAAAGAAACAAATCCAGCATTGACCTCAAAGAGAACACACACTCCGAGCGTGTCCTTCCAGCTACAGAGGTCAATATACTTGCCGACCCCACACACTGGCCGAGTCTTGGAGAAGGGAAGCCCAGTTGCCATGGTCATGGCCATTCAACCGTGGTGCCGTTGAACCCCGCGCCGGATGGATGCTTGGTGACAGCGAGGAGAAATTCTATGGCAGCTATTATTTATCAAAAAACTAGAATCGTTCCTGCAGTACCACTGCTTCTTCGATCCGTGACAATGGCCGAGATGAGGTCTGTCAGCAGTGATTCAGCCAAGAGGTATTTCATTATCTATATCTCCATCCCTAATTTGTTTTCTGATATAATTGCAGCGACGATAAGATCATCACTGTCGCCAACACCACAGGAACCAGACTCTGGCCTGCAGTAGTGAAGTGGGCCGGGAAGCCTCCGAGCACAGACGTCGTTGAAAACCAGCCCGAAGCAGCCGACCCCGCTAGCTGCCCGTAGTATTATATTTGACAAGTGGACGTTGCTATCTTCTTTTGCGCCCGGGATTAGTGAGAATGGAAGGGTAGGGGCCATGAGCCTGAATTATAAATAGATGGTGGCTACACCAGGTCGGCTTTTAAAAGGGGGAGTCAGTGAGTGGGATCCGAATGTTATTGTAGTACGGAGCGCATACAGATGAAGAATTCATATGGCTTCCAAGATGGCTTCATTTGACCTAGAGCAAGGGACGTAGAAAACACGATATTTGTCATTGATTTACATACTAAAATTCCCCATTCTACCAATATTTTCGAGGAGCATCTCCCATACACCCCTTCTAATTTTGGTATCGATTCCAAAACGCCCGCTTCCCATGTTAAGACCAGACCAACACATTAGAATTTTCCTTCAAGCCTGATATCCCTTGAGCTACTCCCAACCCTTATTGTAAAAGCCCCGTCAACAGGCATAACCCAGTTTTGCTCCCTCACATCCCAGAAACTCAGATCTCTTCGAGTTAACTTGAAGTGTACATCCTTTACCTCTCCCGGCTCCAAGTTTATCTTCTCAAAGCCTCTCAGCACTTTAACTGGGAAGTCACTCATATCAGTGTCGAACCAGCCACCTCGTTTTATCCCACCCATGGAGTCGCTAGGAACTGGGGACTTAGGGTATGATAAATACAATTGCGCAACTTCTGCGCCGGACACCCCACCAGTGTTTTTCAGGGTCACGGACACGCTAGCGTGGACGTCGAAAAGTGATGGGTTGCCACCCTCGCCGCCACCGGCTTGGGATGCCAGCTGTGTCGTGTTGTAGCCATCTGGGTATGGATATGACCCTGTAGTAATACCCGATACGTTGTTGATGTAGGGGTAAATGTACTTTGCTAACCTTCTGAATCCAGAAGGGTAGAGCGCAGATGAGGGGTCGGGAAGTGTTTGATAATAAGTTGGCGGAGCTGTGGCATTTGGCCGCAGGTCAGGTAGTGCCGACTTCCCCTTGACGGTAGTGACTTGAATATCGCTATACTCAAACTTGGTGTAGGAGAGCCCAAATCCAAACTCGAAGCGCGGTGTGATGTCATATTTGTCAAAGTGTCTGTAGTCGATGTAGATGCCTTCAGAGAAGTTCTGCTGTGAGATCGGCGCATTGGGCAAATAGAGAACCTTGGCTCCACTCCCATAATCGTCGAGACTCTTTCCGATTGTATATGGAAGTTTACCGCTCGGGTTCGCATCGCCGAAAAGGATATCCACGAGGGCATTGCCGCTTTCTTGGCCAGGAAGATGAGCCATAACCACGGCTTTCACGCCGGGAAGATCAATCCAGCTTTCCATCAACACAGGGCCAACGGCGTGGACAACGACAACAGTATCGCCTTTCCCGCCACCACAGCCGTTTGTTACCTGCTGGACAAGCTTATCGCCATCCTTGTGTAATTTGAGGTCATTTCGATCGCCCGCAATGCCATCGAATTTCTTGTAGCCCTCGCCCGAGTCAGCGTTCACGAACACGATACAAATATCTTCGTCCTTCAGCATCGACGAGCTTCCTGGCGGGGCCTTGTTGGTCAATGAGTCGGTTACGTCGACTTTGGCCTTATTGACGGCCGCCTTGATCGCAGAAACTGGCGTAATGAGATACGGAAACTCAACGGCCCCAGAGCCCCATCCAGATCCTAGAGTTCCCTGGTTACAGGCACGATCCTCGCAAACATTTGGCCCATTGCCAGGCCCAGAGTCTTCCCCGAATATGCCAATCCTAAACTTCCTGTCCTGTGTCGAATCCTCTGGCCAGCCCACACGGCTAAGGGGCAAGATGCCGCTGTTTTTGAGCAACACCGTCCCTTGTATTGCCACCTCCTTTGCGATTTCGGCATGGGAATTTTCCTCTTCGCCTTGAACATTGACAAACTGATTGACTATTTGAAGGCTGTTGTCATCTGGGCTACCATGATGAAGACGTCCTTTGGCATCATTCGTCCACGACGAAAAGTTTGGCCCCTTTCGGTCAAATTTAGATCCGTCATCCTGTCCGAGTTGGTACCATGCTGCGACAATACGGGTCACCATATCATTCAACCGAGATACAGGCACAGAGCCATTGAGAACCGACTTGGTAAGTTCAGGGCCCCAGAGCGACTGGCCGTTTGCCCATACAAGACCATCTCCTGGCATGCTCATGTCCAACCCTGCCAATGTACTCGCCACCCCAGCTCGCTGCGCGAGCCAGTCGGACTGGACGAATCCTTGAAATCCGAGTTCATCTTTTAGAATGCCATTTATCAACTTGCTATTGGCGCAAGAGTATGAGTTATTCGTCATCTGGTAACTGCACATGACACTTGCAACGCCCGCTTTAACGGCATCAGCAAATGGCCATAGATAGAGCTCGTGCAAAGTCCTGTCGCCAATGTTTGAGCTGAGGGCATTTGGGATAGCCCATTCCCGAGCCTGCCGAAAGTGTTCTTGCTCATTCCCAATGTAGTGCATATACTTTATACCACAGGGGTCAAGTGGTGAGACTAACAGGTTGGCCAAGTGGTTCGACTCGAAGTAAGGGAATGCAAAGTAAGTCGAAGCAGGAGGAATTGCAAGAAGGCCAAGTAGTGTATAATTTGCTAGCTAAAGATCAATAAGAGACATGAGCAATAAGTGCTTATATAACAGTAAAAATCCCTAATGCCAAATAAGCGAAGACACTAATTAACAGAACCCTAGCTAAGCGAGCCCTAGTGAAGTGAGCCAATAACAAGAGAGTCTAAGCCAGTAGTCATTTTGGGCTGATCTAGGTCAGCAAGTGAAGTGAAGTGAGCGAAGTGAGCGAAGTGAGCGAAGCAGGTGAAGTGAATGACATAGTGAAATAAGTACTAGAGACTAAAGCGAATCGAAGGGTCATGACACAAATATCGAAGGAGTGTCATGACACTAAGAAGCTTCTCTTGTCCGATTTCCTAGAGGAGCGTTGTCATACTGACATTCGTTGCACTCAGTTTGCTATCAAACTCAAGAGCAAACTTAGAAATCTCCTCCTCAAACCCACAAGTCACTATACATATTTTGGCTTGTCACACCAACAACAAGAGCAATACTACTCAACAATTGCTACAACCCTCTATGATTCATTACACGTCATTGCTCCTTAGTTACTGGGCTGATATGACCACATAGCATATCTCTACAACCCTCTATGATTCATTACATGACATCACTCCTTAAGGGCTAATACTACACATGACATATCTCTATCAACTAGAGGCCTAGGAACATGAACGATAGCTCCAAAAGCTTCTACAACTGTCTATGATTCATTACACATCATCGCTCCTTAGTTACCTACAAGATTGGTTAAGGTATGACATAATCTGTCTATAGGGGTGTAATGGTGGGTGCACCAGATATGAGAATCTAGCCACCCAAGGAAGGGATGAATTTACTAAGACAACACACTGTCTTAGGAAACAGAGCCAAAGGGTTGTAGCTTAGACTATTCCACAACGCAGCAATCAGGTGTATGATGTGGTGAAGTGGTTTAGACAAGTTGCAACAAATGTTGAGTCTGAGAACTCAGGGGTAAGTCAGAGGTTAGCACCTCACTGACTTTTCAAAAAACAGAGAATAACAAGATCAATGCTTGGAAGCTTGGAAAAGACGTAGAAGTATGTGCTAGTCGATTTACTGTATTGCCTGCTTGCCCTTTCTTAACGAAAGGGCAATCCTATTTATGCCAAAGGAGTGTAGTTCTCTCATTTTCCATGACTTTCCATGACTAACCAGGCTTGGTAAATGTATTAGAAATCAAGTGCGACCCACAACTAGCTTGCTAATCATGTAGTGAACGTAAGAGAATCCCATAGAACCATCTCTTGGGTTCCTAGCCTATAGGAAGTGAAAAGGAGGTCCAAGGTCAGAGTACCTATAGATAAATTATGTCATAACTTAACCAATCTTGTGGGTAACTAAGGAGCGATGACGTGTAATGAATCATAGAGGGTTGTAGAAGCTTCTAGAGCTATCGTTCATGTTCCTAGGCCTCTAGTTGGTAGAGATATGCCATGTGGTAGTATTGGCCCACCCCCTTAAGGAGGAGATTTTCTTAATAACTTGTTCAATGAGTGTCCAAATGATATGCCGTGATGTATGTAGCATAAACAGATGTAGTAGAAGAGTTTGCAGCAATCGTTGAGTAGTATTGCTTCTGTTGTTGGTGTGATAAGCCAAGATATGTATGGTGACTTGTAGGTTTGAGGAGGAGATTTCTAAGTTTGCTCTTGAGTTTGATAGCAAACTGAGTGCAACGAATGTCAGTATGACATGATCCCCCTTTTAAGGACGTTTGTTGGCTGTCTGCTTGCCCTTTAGCCAGTTGGCTTTCTTAGAAAGAAATTCTAGAATGAGCTTAGATGCATTTTTTAGATTTCTCTTAGGCTCCCAAGTGTTGTCACTTGTAGGATAGCCTTTCCACTTAACGAGGAAGTAGTCCTGACCTCTAAGTGTCTTTTTGTCAAGGATAGACTCTACTTCATATTCTGGTTGATCCAAGATCAGAACAGGAGGTGGAGGAGACTGAAGTGGTCTTAAGGAACTTTCTTGTGCCTTAGACAAGAGAGATGCATGGAAGACATTATGGATAGTCCAAGTAGGTGGTAATGCAAGCTCGAAAGCATTCTTGCCAATAGTCCTTGTGATCTTAAAAGGTCCAAGTCTTTTAGTATCAAGTTTGTCTGAAGGTCTAGTAGTTGTGATATGTCTTCTAGACAAAAAGACTTGATCACCAACTTTGAATTGTGGTGCAACCACCCCCCTGTTAAAGGCCTGAGCCTGCTCGTCTTGTGCACGCTGTATTTGAACCTTGAGATAGTCCTGGAGGCCCTTAAGGTAGATGATTCTTTCAGTAGCAGAAGGGTTTTTGAAATTTTCAGGGCAATTCAGTTCTGCCACTTCAAACCTAGGGTGATAACCATAGTTTGCATAGAAAGGTGTCTCTTTTGTGGTGTTAGAGACTGTGTTGTTGTAAGCAAATTCTGCAAGATGGAGAAGATCTGCCCAGTTGTCTTGAGCATAGTTTGTATAAATTCTTAGATATTGTTCAAGTACAGAGTTGACTCTCTCTGTCTGGCCATCTGTTTGAGGGTGATAAGCTGTAGAGAAGCGTTGTTCCATGTTTAAGAGTTTAGAGAACTCCTTAAAAAAGTTTGAAGTGAAAACTGCTCCCCTATCTGAGATCCAGTGTCCAGGAATTCCATGATATTTAAAGACCACCTTGAGAAATAGCCACGCAAGTTCAGAAGCTGTGATAGTCTCATTGCAAGGCTCAAAGTGTGCCATTTTTGTGAGCCTTTCTACCACCACAAGGATAGAGTCATAAGGGGTAGCACCCCCTTTTGGGATAGAAGGAGGCAACTTGACTATAAAGTCAATGGATATGGAGTCCCATGGGCGTTCTGGTATAGGTAGAGGCTGCAAGAGGCCATAGGGCTTTTGCCGTGTAGGTTTGTTCAAGTTGCAAGTAGTGCAAGAAGATATATAGTCTTGAAGAGTAGTCCTTAGACTAGGCCAGTAGAACTTTCTTGTTAGAAGTTCATAAGTTTTTGCAAAGCCAAAGTGCCCTGCAGCTGGAGCATCATGGAACTGCTGTAGGAGGTGTAGCTGTAATCGTTTATCCCTTGGGACATAGATATAGTTCTTGAATAAGAGAAGTCCATGCTGATTTTTTGAGAAATTCTGTAGTCCAACTTTCTCAAGAGAGGAACCTTTCTTCTGGAGGTATTCCAAAGTTCTTTTGGCAAAGGGATCATGGTTGTAAGCATCTTTGAATGCTTTAAGAAGTGTTGCTGAGGGTGTATAGTCTTTAAAGGTCTCTGGTTCCTGAGAAGAGGTAATGGGGGCAACTTGGTCTTGAGGGGATAAGTTTACCCCTAAGTCCTCTGTAGTACTAGGGTTGCTTAAAGATGCTGCTATAAGCTTTGCTGAGTCTAGCAGAGCCTTTGTATTGCTAGTTTTAGCAGAATCTTGGTAGTCATGTCTTCTTGAGAGGAGATCTGCTCTTTGATTCTTGGCCCCTGAGACATGTTTTATAACAAAGTCAAAACCTCCTAGTTGTTCAGACCACCTTGCTTGTCGTCGATTGAGCTGTTTAGTGGTTGTAAAGGTCAAGAGATTTGAATGGTCACTGTAAATAGTGATAGGATAGTTTGCCCCTTCAAGGTAGCATCTCCAATGCTTTAGAGAACATACTATGGCAAGCAGTTCCTTGTCTGTAATGGGATAGTTTTGTTCAGCTGCTGATAGCTTTCTTGAGTAAAATGCCACAGGCTGTAGCTCTTCTTGTTTGTCTTTTGGAGCTTGGTATAAGATTCCAGAAATGGCAAAATCTGAGGCATCTGTCTCAAGAGTGGCAGGTTTCAAGGGGTTAAAGTGTAGTAACATTTTCCCTTCTTTAAATTCTCCTTTAAGAGCATCGAAAGCATCTTGCTGTGTCTTATCCCAGTGATACAAAGTGCCCTTGTGAAGTAATTGAGTAAGGGGTAAAGCCAAGGATGTATATCTTGGTATAAACCTCCTGTAATAGTTGGCAAACCCAAGGAAAGACTGAACCTCTTTAATGCTGGAAGGAATAGGCCACGTTTGTACTGCTTTTGTCTTTTCAGGGTCCATCTGAATGCCTTCTGTTGAAATTCTATGTCCTAAGAAATCAACTTGAGACATATGGAAAAGACATTTCTCAAGTTTGCAAAAGAGTTGTGCTTGAGATAGCTTCTCTAAGACTTGTCTAACATGTAGAACATGCTCTTGAGTGTCTAAAGAGTATATAAGAATGTCGTCTAAGTAGACAACAACAAAGATATCCAAGTAAGGTCTTAGAATATCATTCATGAGAGCTTGGAAAGAAGCAGGTGCATTGGCAAGCCCAAAAGGCATTACCTGGTATTCAAAATGACCATAGCGTGTTCTGAATGCTGTCTTCCACTCATCACCTTCCTTGATGCGTATCAGGTTATAAGCTTCCCTGAGATCTAACTTGGTAAAGATCCTTGCTGAAGAGAGCCTATCTATGAGCTCAGGGATAAGGGGTAAAGCATATCTGTTTTTAACAGTGACTGCATTAAGGCCCCTATAATCAACACAGAGACGCAAGGAGCCATCTTTCTTCTTGACAAAGAGAATGGGAGCTCCTGCTGGTGAGGAAGAAGGTCTGATAAAGCCAGAACTAAGGTTCTCATCTAGGTATTCTCTGAGAGTTTTCAGCTCTAATTCAGATAGAGAGTAGATAGGGCCGTAGGGAGGCATTGAGCCTTCTGCGAGTGGTATCTCATGGTCATAAGGCTGGTGCTTTGGCAGAATTGATGCCTTTGCCTTGTCAAAAAGATGTTGGTAGTCTTGGTATGCTAAAGGCAAAATGACCTCCTGAGATGATTTCTCCAAATCTGAAGTAGCTGCTATCTCCAGGACAGGTTGGAAAGGTTTAACCCATATCAGAGATGATATATCGTCCATAGTTTGGTCAAAATCCTTGATCTGGGACAAGTTTGAGTCTTGGACCTGAATAGGGGTAACTGAGGCTTGAAGGGTTTTTTCAGTATTGAGCTCAGGATTTGAGCTAAACCCAAGCGATAAA